ATAGATAGATAGATAGATAGATAGATAGATAGATAGATAGATAGATAGATAGATAGAGATATAGAGATATAGAGATATACAAAAGGACAAAGGCATAGAGATTATTATAGTAAAATAATTTTGTAGATACCTTAAGAACTGGGGAGGAATTTTGTTTATGCACCTTTTTAAAAAGAAACAACTTCACTCCATACAATGTCACTGTGGGAAATGGACAAGTTCACTACACTGTTACTTTAAGAGTCCAGTCTGAGTCCAGCATTGTCATCTACGACACTTATCTAGCCTCGGAGTAAAGCCTCATGTAAGCAATCCCTATGAAACGTCTTATAGTGAATGCAGACTTCTGCTATTACTATTTATGCTTCCAACTTAGACAAAGATCTGATTGATAAAATTGGCCCTCTGAGTCCATGGAAGTAGAATGGAATAGGCCTCCCACTACAACTTCTGAGATACGATGCCACTGGGGTATTTCAAACTTGGCCACTTTAAGGTGTGTAGACATCAACTTCTAGAATTCCTTATTTATGTTAACAGAAAAAAGAAACATTAAAAGAGAGCATACCATCAATCTAAGAGTCAAATGTTGTAATTTTGGGGTGAGGGCAGTGAATAGTTTTAAGGATGCAGCTTAAAAGAAATGATGCTAATGTCTGACCAAATAAACCTCATTCCCTCCCCCGCACACACAAACACACACTATTGTGGTACCTGCTCTGCAAGGCAGAGTAACACAACCTAATTGGCCATGTTATTTCAGGCACTTTAGATTATTTATGAACTCTATCATATCCACCCTCTGTGTTAACATGAGAAGTCAAGTCCAGTCGTAACAACCACTGGATTTGCAAATCACTAAAAACACGTAATTGCATTACAAAAACACCGAGGGTAAAATCAAATGTACCTACATGCATGTATGCAGGGGTGGGCTTCAAAAATTTCAGCAACGGGTTCTCTGCCCGGTTGCAGGGTGGGCGTGGCCATGGTGGGTGTGGCCTAGCTGGCTTCCTGCACCATGGCGGGGAGCCCGTTTTCGCCTTTCCCAGGCTCCGGAGGCTTTCCTCGAGCCTATGGGAGCATCCCGGGGCTCTGGAGGCCAGAAATGGCCCCAATTTCTGGACTTCTGGACTTCCAGAAGGCCTGTTTTTCCCCCTCCCCGAGGCTCGGTGCGGGCCCTGTACTTACTTGGCATCCAAAACAGGCCGTGTGGAGACTCCTGGGAGGAGCGGGAGGGGCCAGCCAGGGATTTGGCAGTTTGCCGAACCAGTCATAACATTAGCTACGGATCTGCCCAACCCAGGCGAGCCTGTAGTAGCCCACCCCTTCACGTATGTGAATGAATGAGTGAGAAAGAGAGAAAGACAGAAAGAGAGAGAAAGTTGGCATTGGGCAGAAAGTTCAAATGATTGTTGAGTTGTATTAACTTCTCTGTCCTTGATCAAAGGTTTATAAGAATAGTAAGAAAGAGATTCACAGCCCATTTAAGCCTCGCACCCTAACCTCAGACTCTTACATCACAACCGAAGAGCCAAGTTGGAACTCATAACTGTAGCCACTGCCTGGCCACACATGCTCTACTCCCTCTCATCTCTTCATAATTGCAGAAATTACTCTGCCTATACCTTATTAAATGACCACAGATGGGAAGGAGTGGCCCAGCACTGTACACTGTGTTCTGCATCGTGAGACATGTTGGACTAGAAGAAAGAAGAATTGAAATTCAAAACGTTGCAAGATATTGTTAACCATCCCAGTGATGCAGAGGAGAGCTCTTTGATGGTTGGAATTGAGGAATCTCTTGTTGACGGTGTGCAGAAACTGGTCTGCTGCTTAACCTTTATCCAAAACAAACTTAAGATTGTATCCATGGTCAATGTCAATCCACAGCAAATAGAGAGGAAGAGTAGAGGCAGCAAACTTTAGCCCAAAATGAAAAGATGTTTTCTCTTTAAGACAAAGACTTTGGCGGATCCAGACAAAATATTGAAGTGCAAAAAACAGCACACTGATAAGCA